TTGTGTCCATGCCACACCTGGAGAGATGCTCTCAGCACAGAGTAATGCTGATGTTTCTTACCTTAATTCCTAACGGTGTCTATTAGCTGAGGCGCAGCATTGTGCCAATGTGGCTACAACTTTGGGATGCTGAGCCTGTAAAGCACTGCATTCTGCTGGGTGACTGTAAGAGTTAGCACAGGGTGTGAGCACTGTGTACCTTTACAGAGTCTAGTCATGTCTTCTTATGTCGCTTAGAGAAGCAGATTACAGGTAACGTCTTTGCTGGGCCTACAGGCTGAACAAGGCAGGTTACCAAAGACCCTTTCAAGGGATGTCACCTTTGGGATACTGCCCTGGTTTTGTCTGGGATGGAGTTAATTTTCTTCATAATTTTTCTTCTATTGCACCCATAGATTGTAGTGCTCTGGAAAATGACTTACATTTCCTTAGCACAAAGTGGATGAAAGAGGGGAAAGCCTGCTTTATGCAACAGCTCAAACAGGTCTTTGTTCCCTTATCATCTGTGAATGTAAAACGGACCTCTCTCTGAAGGGGTTTAAAAGATTTGCATTTTCAGGTGGAAATAGGTGCACTCCAAGACTTTCTTGGTGTGAGAAGAACTTGAGAACCCCAAGCACCTCATTTAGCTGCAATGTCAACAGTGGAAAAAGTGCCACCTCTGGGGAAGAAGTAGCTCTACAAGTCACTTATGATAGGGTTTCCGGATGTTTTTCTAAGACATGTGGAGCATAAATACTCTCAGCACTATTTTTTTTCATACACAGCTTTATATGTGGGAGAAAATTACTGACTCTTAACCTCAAACTCATAATGTCTTACATGTCATTGATATACCAAGGTCAGGTTGGACAGGTCTTTGAGCAACCTGATCTAGTGAAATATGTCCCTGTTCATGGCAGGCAGGTTGAACTAGATAATCTTTAAAGGTCCCTTCCAACCCAAACCATTCTACAGTTCTATGATTCAATGATTCTATGGTTTAAAGGCAAAAAGCTGAGCACCCAAACCAATATTAGATGCATAGGGTTAAATGGTCTAATACTTTTAAAGAATACTTCACAACTTTTGGAGTAAGTGATTTGGACACCAGAGTGATAATCGAAGGAGGAAAATCTGGAGGGAAATCTTCAAAACTTTAGGTTCAACATGATATCCTTTCATTCAGAATCTTTTTTTTTTTACTCTATTTAGGAAGAGGTCTGAAAAATGACTCCTCTAGTACTATCTAAAATGGTCTTTCTTCATCACTGAAAAGTTAAGAGGCAGAAAGATAAGAGAGGCTTAGCACACCTTAATGCAACAAGTTTTGGCAGGGGTTCCTCTGTCTCCAAGATGGGAATGAAGGAACTACTATTAACTAGTTTCCAAATTATCCTTAAGGTATCTGAAAAATACAGTGAAATAAAAAGTTTCCTCCAACAAAAACACTGGTGGTCTCCAAAAGAAGCAAGCCATCTTCTTGGGAGCACTTTGTAAAACTTTGGAGACTTCCAGATGTTCTTAGTTTTCCTTGATTGTATTCTAGACAGGATGCTTTTTTTTTTTTTTTTTTTTTTGGCAGGTATACCACTGGAGGTCACTCATGTACTAATAAACTGTACAGTGCTGCAAGGGAAAAGGTAATATAAATTATCAAAGAATGAACTCAGCTTGACCTGAAGATTACCTTAAAATGGAAGTGAGTTGGGAAATACGTTGTACGGATATTTCTCAAATTTACAGTAGCATATATTAAAACTACCAAGTAAACTAATGGGTTTTAGTTTTTTATAAAAAGACACAAAAATCAACACTAGCAAGCCAAGTTTGCTTTGATCTAGCTACAGTAATAATGGAAATGCAGCACTTTTCCTTGCCAAAGAAAACAAAAAGAGGAAAAGATAGCCACCACTAAAAATGCTCAGGGAAGTCACATCAGTGTGACAAGAAATTGCAAATGCAATGACATGTAAGATAGGAGGGGAAAGATTGCATGGCAATTTTCTGACTATGACATTTCTGATAGGAGAAAAATTGCAAGGAAGAAGTCATAAACTCTATTTATTTCATATGACTCGTTTCCTTATCTCTACTTTCTGTTAATCCATTTTTATCACTAACTTTCAAACTTCTGGACATATCTTTGCTGAAATTGTGAGTTGTAGAGAAAATGAACTTGCTAAAATGTTTTCCCTCTTTCCCCTAAACTAAAATTTTAGTATAGATTTCCTGTTCTGAGGTGAAGAATAAGAAAATGCAGGTTCTGTTTCAGCAATATCAGTACAACATCTCTTAGCCCAACTGGACCAAAACTACTTATTTTACTTCAAAAGCAAACTGCTACTGGCTGGCAACTCTCTGCCTCAGGCTCCAGGCCCATGAACATTCATACCAATATTCCCAGAGTACAAGAGAGTCAATTAAAGTCAGATGGATACATATGTTAATAATTAAAGTATTGCTTACATATTATCAGGAAAAAAATGTTTGAGAGTGGCTTTATTCACCTGCAGAAGAGGAGAAAAGATTTGCCCGTGGCATTTAGCACTTGTACAATACTTTGTGCAGCTCTGCCTTGCTCTGTACTTTTAACTTACTATTTATATAATGTCATTTGACTCTGGTTGCTTCTAGGTGGTTTCTGCAGCTGCTATATCCTGCTGGCTGCTCCCTGATTGGCAGGTTCTTGATTTAAAAAGAGCTGCATGTTCAGTAGTTAACTGACTGCTGATTTGGGGGTGCTAGACTGGTTTTTATCTGCTGTGTAAGGATGATTATTCAGCCGGGAAATGGGAATTCAGCAAGCAGAGCTTTGGGTAATTTGTGTGGGTGCTGGGAAAGGGCAGAGACTCTCCTCCAAACAGTGTGGGATGATGCAACACCAATGCTGATAAGCTACTGGGCCTGATGTCCAGCACCAGTGAAGAAAGTACCCTTGGCACGTCAGTGGCGACAGTGTAGACAGGGGGGTGTTGTGACTGAGTCTCTCATGGGGCTGTGGGTGATGGGTTCCTCCCCTGTGGGAGGTGTGTAGTGGTCCAGGTGCTATGTGTCCAAGGACTTGCAGAAGGAGGTATGCAAGACTGTTCACTATTAAGAAGGGTAATGAGATATCAGCAAGGTCTCCACAGAGGTGAGGGTCTGAGCCTGAGGTGGAGGGATGTCTGGGGGCTGTGCTGGATAAAGCGCTGGATGGGGAGTCCCCTGAGGGATGTTGCTGACGTTCATGACTTCTGGCAGCAGGAGAAATGTTCCTCTTCCCTGCTCAGACCTGAATGCAGAGAGTTGGTATCAAGCACTAATAGCCATGGGAGGGGAACAGATGCTGCTGAGGAAAGCTTCGGAGCCAGCTGTGCCCAGCTTGAGCACCTCCAGTAAGTGGTAGCAGTTGGAGATCCCCTTCTGTAGGGAACAAAGGAACCTGTCTGCTGACCAGCCATGCTGTCATGGGAGGTTTGCTCTTTGGTAGATACCCAGATACTGAGTGTTGTAAAGAGATGGCCAAGGCTTACCTGGTTCCCTGACTGTTACCCCTCATTTCTCATCAGTGTGACCATCAGTGATACTGCTGAGGGACACCTGGAGTAAAACAAGAGTAACTGCAGGATTCTGGGTGGCAGAGCACATGGAAACCCATAGGATGTCCCCTTGACCCTCCATGGGAAGAGGTCAGGTAGGAAAGGACACTATCCTGAGAGGTAACAACTGGTCACATGGCTGTTGCCATAGGTAGTGCTTTGGCTTTCATCACTGTGAAACAAGGAGATCTAACAAAGTAGGGTAAGAGTATCTTTGCCAACAGGTCTGAAAATCTGGTGAGGAGAGACTTCAACTTGATACGTTGCAGGATGGTGATCACTGCTTACACTAAGGAATGGAGTTCAGGGGTGGTAGGTAAATGGGCAGGGTGATGGGAGCAAGACATCCCTTGGGAAAGATAAAACAAGTCAAAAGGAAGCCTACCTTAAGTATACGTACACAAATGGATCCAGCCTGGGAAACAAAAAGGAGGAACTAGGAACTGTTCCATGTCCGGATGCAGAACTGTGACATCCTTGGAAAAACTGAAACATGGTGAGACAGCTCACACAACTGGAGCTCTCCAATGCATGAAGGGCTCGTTAGTAAAGACAGAAAGGGAAAATGAGGACAGTTTTCCTCTATATGAAGAGGCAGCTTGAATGCATGGAGCTCTTCTATGCTATGGACAACATGCTGGTTGAGAGCTTGTGGATCAGTGAGGGTATTAAGTGGGGCATAGCATTTGGAATTTGTTGCAGATCCACTTCCTCACCCTGATGACTTGACAGTCTCCTTTAAACAGCTTAAGGAAGGCTACATGCTAAACAAGAAACTTGGGTCTGAGCTGCAACACACATACACACACACACACACACACACACAGACAGAGAAAAAAGTAGTAGTATATAGAAAGTAGAAGCAAAAACAGATTACAAAGGAAGAATTTAAAAACACTGCACCGGTGTGTTACGAAAGCAAATTTCAGTTTGAGTTCAAACTGGCAACAAGAAGAGCTTCTACGCAAACAATAAAAAAATAAATAAGGAAAATGTAGGCCTGTAACTGGTGGTCTAGTGACAGGGGATACAGATAGAGCTGAGAAGCTCAATGCTGCCTTTGTCTTCACAAGCAAGACCCCCAAGTCTCTGTGCCCCGAGGCAGGGTTCAAGGAAGAGAAGAACTATCAGTAGTGGGACAAGATTGAGTTTGGTTCTACAAACTTGTGAGGACACAGCCTCAGGAAACCGGAATAATCCTGTACTGAATTCAACAACTGACTACCTGTTACATGGAGTAAATAAAGTTCTTGTGAGATTGCACACTCTGAGATCATAAAAGTTCTAGAGATCTATATTCCAGACACAACAGTGACAGAAATGTTTATTCAAAGTATCTTAACTCAGCCTTTTATGAATGAAAATATTGTGGGTTTACCGTAATAAATGATTTACTCTGAAATTTCCTTTTTTTGGCTCTTTGTCTTTAGTTGTATCCCATTACTCTGCGTCTTTTGATTCATCCTCCTTATCCTCTAAACTAGCAGTTCCTGTGGAGGTGAAGAAAAGACAGGACATAGAGATGCATTTTATTATAAAAATACTGGAAAGTAATCTTAGGAACCTAAAACATAATTCTAGGACTATGCTGTCTACCTCAGTCCTCCTTCCTCACTGCCTTTCACTGCCAATACTTGAATTTAACTGTTATACATTGTTTGTCAGCTGCCAGATAGACTTGGTACACACATATTGACTGTCAGCCAGCCCATATGTAACTCTGGAATAACCAAAGAAAGTCTCCTATTTAGACGATATCATAAGAAACATGGAACAAGAAGGATGGAATTCCTGTGTGGAAAAAAATGATGGTAATGGGCCACAGTTTGCAAGGCTGCAAGGAGACAGATTTTGTTACATCTGCTTTTCACAGTATGCGTATTTTCTTCAAATCATTTCCTCTTGCTGTAACTTAATCTTGCTAAACATAAAGACAAGGGGAACAATATGCTGTCTAATTAATTATGGATGTAGACCTATGCTGAAAAATGTATAAAATCATCCAACTCTTTGATTCTAGAAATAAAGAGCTGGAAGGAACTTTAATAACATCTATCACATTCCTACATTTTCATGCATCGGTATCTGCATCTATGCTGTCTCCAACAGATACCTGGTTCCATTTGTTCTTTAAAAAACCAAACCAAACCAAACAAAAAAGACCCAATGGGGATACCAGAACTGCTTCATCGTGGTAGGCCAGAAAATTTATTAGAATCAAGTTCAGTCAAAATGGTTATTTGAGTCCAAGAGACTTTGAGACAAACCAGGCTCAACGAACTTTTGCCAAATCCAAAGTAGAGCTATGCAGGAAACCTGCTGAGATTTCTGCTGGATCTGATCCAAGCCCAGAGATCCTGTAAGATGTCAGTCCTACACACCAGATCAGCTCGCTGGCTAGTCTGCCCTGAAGCAGCAGAGCACCTTCAGAGGTGATGGGTAACAAATGAGAGGAAATACACTACAAGAATTCCAAGAGCTGACCTAAATGTTTAGTGTATATCTCCAGGCATTTTCAAGTGGTTTAATAGTCTCTCTGGATATTCTTTTGCCTATGGATAGTGCTTTGCTTTGATTTATTGCAAAATGGACTGATTATAAATGGATAAATTTATCTTATGTTTTCATACATCAGATATGTAAGCTCGTAAATGTTAACGCTAAACAAATACAAACAACACAATTGGGTGGAGGCCCGTAGGCTAAATATGAGTAAAATAGACGCATCCTTCAGTTGCTTCTTAGTAATTTTGTATTTAAAATAGGCTTCTGAACTGCCTGGAAGAAAACCTGAGCATCTGAATTCCAAATCTCTTTAGTTTGTAGGAGAAACAAATCAACCAGAGACTGTTCAAACCATAATGCATAACAATACCTAAATATTTTTTTTTTCAGATTTCTCTTGCCTGCTTTTTAACTTCAGTGGAGAGAATAAGAATACACAGTCCCATTCATGAAAGAAAAGCGGAGTGCTCAAAACCCCCTGAATTTCCCCAAATCTGAAATCTTCTCTCGCATTTTTGTACAAAAAAGAAGTTTGCAAATGCAATCATTTACAAACTCAGCCCTACAAGTGCTGTCAACCGTGCATGCATAGATGATGCTGCACAGAAGTGTCACTTCTAATTTGTACTGTTACAGTATATGAACTTGACTACTCAAAACCAGTTTACATCTACAGAAGACTGCCCCCCTTATGAAAGGTAGAGATTCCCATGCTCTTTTCAGCTTGGTAATGGATCTCTCAGTAGTAGCATGACTTCAGCTGATTGACATACATAATTTCAAACCCTGATTGCTAACGGAAGAATGAGCATGCATGCCCCATTCCTCACCTTGATCCTCCTGATCTTTGTTTTCTTCTTCCTCTCTGCTTCTCTCGTCTTCCTCTCCTGCATCCCTTTCTGTGCTAAAAACTTCACTGGATGCTTCATGAAGAGAAGGCTCATCATCCCTACCCTCAGCAGATTCATCAGGGACTGAAATATGGAAATTAGAAATACCGAAGAAAATTTATTTTACAAATTTGCACTCAGCTATTGTTTTCAGTGATTCACCCGCTTCCCCAGTTATAGCTCATTATGCTATGTGAGATAAAACAGACATATATAGATGGTGCAGTTTATGAACAGACTTGGAAGCTCCTAGCATTCAATATGTGGTAAACTATAAGGAAAAAAACCCCAAACGACAAAACCAAAAAACCTCTCACACCACTTGATATTAAACCTGAAAAACACGGTTTCAGGGGATAGTCAAAGCATGGAGTTGCGAGCTGTCCAGCATAACAAACCTGCAATTGATGGTATTTTCTCCTCTTCAGTTATTCCTGCCGCTGCTCTTTCTTCCACTGCTTCTGCTGCTGTCACTAGGGATGCTTCTCTGGGAGAAGGTAGGTTTTCCCCATGAGGAGTCCAGAGTGTTAATTTGGTAATTTCCGATGCTTTCCATTTTGGTGCAACAAGTAATGAGGGTTCCTCCTCTTCTTCTCCTTTATCCTAGAAGACAGCTTATGAAATCCAGCATCTCATCTTACAGGTATTAAGGGAGTAACTAAGATGATGGTTTTATGTACTAAAACCTCTTTATCTGGGGTCAAAATGGCAATGACATGGCCTTTTAAGGTATTTACAGGTGGAGGAACTTCAACAGCCACGAATCTTGGAAGACAACTCCAGTTTGAACCTTGATGAAGTCAATTGACTATTACTAATGACCAAGGCTTGCCAGCTTGCTTTCTTTGAGGTATAATTTTGTCTCTCCCTTAAACAGAATGGCTGTAAGGGGCCCATCAACTATGTCTCCTCTTCTGTGCCTCTCTATAGTGTAACAGCAGCAAGTAAGACCTGATGCTCGGTCTGGTAGATGCTACACTGTCTATGAGAGTGGTAAAACAGCTCTTTCTGCCTCATTCTTTGCTTAGGGGAGACTTTGGAATGGATCTAGGAAGCAGAAAGGTACTGCAAAAAGGTTATGTTTTTGAAATTTGAAGATAATTTTTTTAAATGTAAAAAAATCATGCTTTATTTTATCCAAGTATGAAGGAATCTTAGTAATGGAATCATTAACTGCATTGCAAGCTAATTCCTTTTTTTTATTATTAAATGGCCTTGTTCTGCATTTACTTCAACTAAAGCAAAAAGGCAAAACTTAATCTTACTCTAGTGACAGCACTGTCTCTTCTTTTACACAGTCACTACAGAATTCACATGAGAAGAAATTATTGTTCCTGAGAGTAATCGTTTTCAGAAGCTGAGTGCTTAACCTTGAGTTCTTAAATTCATGTTTAAACTCCCATATCGATGGCCTAATATTCCAAAATCAGCACATCCAACAATTCCCAACTGAACTGAGGATACTAGATACACACCACTTTGGATACTCATATGAATCTGATACTTAATTTGAGGATCTCTTGCTTTTAGTAAAAAAAAAACCCAAAACAGTCTCCATGTTTTGCAAATTTCTATCACTAATGAGAGCATTATTTTATTATTACTATTTTGTCCTTGTCTTAAGAAACAGTTACTGCACTGGAGAATTTTCAAAGAGTATGTAATGGGAACTAATGTGAGGTAGCAGACTCTAAGCTAAAATGTGGCATACTTTCTTGAAGTCAAAACAGTAATATTAAGATATATTTCTTATTTCTATAGCTATTTTGCACCATATTAATCAGAAGTGTTTCAAAACATTTATGCATGAAGGACAAGGAAAAACAGGCCCTGATCCCAGCTGCTCCCTACAACTATTAGGACCTGTGGATATTAAGGTTCTAATAGGACCAGGACAACAATAGGACATATTTCCAAAATGCGAATCTGCTGTAAATTACCATTAGTATGCATAGCATCAAGCAATTCAGAAATATAAGAAGAAATATTTTTGGTTTCTGGTGTTCAGAACAAAGTAGAATACAGGCTAAATGTACAGACAAACACATCAACATTCTTCTGTGGTTTGAAATTCAACTGTTTTGGTAAGGTCCTGATTCTTCTAAACTTTAAGCAGAAAGAACTCCTGTCTGCAAATAGTGCGAAAATCACACCTTGTACTTGACAAAGCTTACATGGTAGAGAAGGTAAAGAAAAAAGCAAAATGAAACCTCATTTAGTTCTTAAGAATGCATGAGTTTCTATCCATTTTTGACTGGTTAGATCTGCTTTAACATCAGTGTCTATACGCCATTTTATAGATTACTCAACAATAGATTTGATTTACTGAATTCTCTGATATTCAGTATAATTTGCACCATTTCCTTTACCTGCTCTGATAGTATGTATTCACCATGTTGTTCACATCCAATATCAAAAACATATTTGCCACGACCTACAGGCTGCACAAAGATAAAAAAAAGTCAGCAGAACTATAAAGTTAATACATTCTAAGTATATAAATGTAAAATATACTTTACTACAAAATTCATACAAAAGTCTACAACAATATAGTTTGAAAGCAAAGTTGCAGAGAAACTTGGCATTCTGTCCTACAGATTAATTCCGTTTCTGATGTTATACTTGTGGTACAAGAAAAACTAAAAAAGATCAGGAGCCTAGCTTCTTATTTTAAGTGGAAACAGATCATATTAAGGCAATCCCATGCTAACTGTTCAGATGAATAGTTTTCCAGCGCACTTACATTTCCGTTCAAAAACTTGCCCTTAAATCTGTGGTTTAGGTGGATAACTTCAGCTTCTCCTTCCTGGTTTCCATTTACCCAACCACCAACATACTTAGATCCCGTGTCTTTATAGACATATGTACCTTGCCCATGCCTAAGGAGAAAATTATAACTTTGCTTTATATTAATGAATATGAAGAATTTATGATGTTGTTATATTTAAGGTATTAAAACTGTATTATTTAAGTAGCTGAAATGGCTCAAGTCGGACTAAATTGCCAAGGTCATTCAATAGCACTTGATTTGCTGCAGACAGCCATGCTTTGAAAAGAACCCTTGCATTTTAATGCCATTGGGTGACTTGAAACATCACTGTAAGAATGAAACAAACCTGTTGTGGTTAAACCATTCTCCAGTATAGATGTCTCCATTTGCATATGTATACTCTCCATAGCCATGTCTCTGGTCATTCACCCAGTCACCTTTAAAGAAAATAAGATAAAAACAGAGTGAGACGTGGTTTATTTCATTGTGTGCTATAGTGGTCAGTTTGTGAAGTTATCATACATGAATTGTTAGAGAAGGAAAAGAAAGCCATGACACCATTGTAATTCCTTACACCTTTCCTTACTCTAAGTCCTTGCTCTTCTTTCTTCTGTCTGACCCTCTCCACACACATTTATGCAGCTGCCTGACCTCCCTTTCATTTTGTCCATCAGTCTGTTTCCATTATCATTCTCTATTAGCACTATGAACACAAGAAGCCATGTAACATCCTGCTCCTATCTTTAAATTTGCTAATGTATTACAGTTCCATTAGATAATATGATATTTACACTCAAATAAAAAGAGGGACTTCTTTAGATTGACTCATTTGCTAAAATTGTCCTGTCAGTCAAAGGACATATATACTCAAAAGGATGTTAGATTGTATGTTTTAATTACTCTTCTATTCAAATTTAAAAGAAATATTAAAAAAAAAAAAAATCACAGAGGCATCCCAGTTCCTGAATAAGTGCTCTAATCAGTAGACTATTTTTTAAGGTCCTAAAAAAGTCCTAAAAAACTTTAGGACTATATAATAATAAAGTCCTAATAAAGTCCTAAAATACTTTATATGGGACACATCTGTGGTTCTAATCATCATTTAGAAATAAGTAACTATACTCTCTTCTACCAAGATTGCACTGATTTGTAAAAGATAGTTAATATTTCTCAGGACTTGGAACACACCACCTGAAAGGAGGGCATGTCAAGAATAAACTGCTACTAAATACCACACTGCTCATGATAATGTACATAAATCCCCATAAATAAACCCCACACTTCTCAGAGCTTGTAGTAAAAAAGAAATAAAAGAAAAACATTTCATAGCAAATTTATCTTCTTAAAATAATACATTCTCCAATACACTACCTCCTTGCATTCGGGGGGTTGGGGCTGAGGGGGGAATGTGTCCTTTCAGTTACAGAAATCCTTTCAACGGTGTTCAGTGTTTTACCTTCATATTGTGATCCATCTGGATAAAAAAAAGTACCCTGGCCATGCTTTTTGTTTTGAAGATATTCTCCAGTGTAGTAAGCACCACTTCTAAATCTGTAGGTCCCCTGAAACATATTTGGTATAGATAAAATACTTGTCAGTTCTCACTCTGGGTTCAATATAGTGCCCAAACTAAGAGAATTGCTGAAATATAAGCACGACCGCTGTCTTCCGTCACTGTCTTACCCATCCACTTCTGAAACCGTGTTCATATTCTCCATCGTATGTATCACCATTGGGTAGACGTGCTTTTCCACGTCCATGTCGCTCACCTTCTGAATTGCGTTCACCATCGTACTCCTGATCAAATGTGAAAAATAAATTGTTTAAGAGGGCTAGACCTGACTGAATCTAACCTCTTTAGGCAGAGGAAAACAGATGTTTGCTCAAAGCTGCTCCAATTTGGCTTGAATCAGAGACTGCAGGAGCACCTGGCCAACAGATGTACTGCTTACGCACTTTCGTCAGATCCTGGCACCCAGAGGCCTTCCTTCCTTCCCGACACACTACTGGGAAGTATGGATGACTTCTTTTCATCCAGTGGAGAAAGTTAGGCAGGTCTCAACCGGAATGGTACTTTTGAAACTCCTGTGCCCACCGACGAAGCGCCTCGGCAGCTCTCCCAGGCTCAGCACGGCCGGCATACAGTACCTAAGCCCCCGTGAGCGGTAACGCTCACTCTTC